CCTTCCTTCCTTCCTCAGCCTGCGTCCCAGCTCAGAGGGCAGGGTGGGGGGCTTTCTTTCTGGGGAGGGATGGGGATCAGTCTGCTTTCCCCCTTCTGCCGCTTTCCGCAGTGAGGCCAGTGTGTCCCCGGCCTCCCTCTCTTCCTTGTCTGACGGGAGAGAGCGATCCCTACCCTTGAGGAAGGGTCTTCATGCCCTCCCATTCTTCTATTTTCCCAGCGTCTTCAAGACCCCCGGGCTGCGGGCCCCCGCCTCCCACGAGCCCGTCTTCAGCGTCTCCGCCAACGGCAGCCCCTTGGCAGGCAGCAGCAGCGACGTCTTCGTCACCCTTCCCGTCGGCAAAGGGGAGGTCAGTCCGGCGCTGGACCATGGGGTCAAGGGGGGTGGGGGAAGGGCAGTGGGAAGCATTTGGGGGTCCTTGCTCAGGGTGACTCTCCACAGGTGGCAAGGTAGAGCCACTGTGGGTCTCCTTGTGGAGAGAAAGAGCAGGGTGTAAATAAAAGAGAAAGAAGTGGGTATACATAAACATCATCATCTTCCATCTGAATACGAGGAAGAACTTCCTGACTGTGAGAGCCGTTCAGCAGTGGAACTCTCTGCCCCGCAGTGTGGTGGAGGCTCCTTCTTTGGAAGCTTTTAAACAGAGGCTGGATGGCCATCTGTCAGGGGTGATTTGAATGCAATATTCCTGCTTCTTGGCAGAATGGGGTTGGACTGGATGGCCCAGGAGGTCTTTTCCACTCCAAATTTGGCAACAAAATGTCTCACAACACAAGGAGTGACCATCACTCAAAAAATTATGATTTTGTTATTTGGGAGTTGTAGTTGCTGGGATTTATAGTTCACCTACAATCAAAAAGCATTCTGAACTCCATCAATGATGGAATTGAACCAAACTTGGCACACAGAACTCCCATGACCAACAAAAAGTTAGCTATTGGGGGAAGTGAGGGCAGGACCAGGAATGAAGCCCATTGCAAGCACAGAGGGCAAATCCAATGAAGGGCCTGTTGCTCCCATTCTGTCTCTTTGCATTTCGTTTTTCCTGCCAAAGTGGAGTATCTTGCATTTGTCCCTGTTGAACTTCATTTTATTAGTTTTGGCCCATCTCTCTAATCTGTCAAGATCGTTTTGAATCCTGACAGATTAGAGAGATGAATGGCCAAAACTAACAAAATGAAGTTCAACAGGGACAAATGCAAGATACTCCACTTAGGCAGAAAAAAACGAAATGCAAAGTTACAGAATAGAGGCAACCAAAGCAGGGCCTCCACTTGAGAGTAGGAAACAAGGGTGGGTTTCCCAACAGAGAGGCGTGTAGCATCCTTTGCATTGGTTTGCCACCCCCTCTCCACACTCCTTCCTAGGGGCGGGTGATAGTAAACAAAGAGACCCTCTTGCCTCCCCAAAAAGGCCTGGCCTTGTTCTTGTATACGATCTTTGCTTGACCTCTTGGGCTCAGGCTTCGGCAGAACGCAATGCGAGGAGAGAAGAAAGAGTCGTTTGCGTGCTGGGCAGGAGGCTGAGGAGTTTGGGGGGTGGGTTCACCCTGCAACCCCCATCAGAAAGACCCCCGGAATCCCATCTCTGCTCTGAAGGCACGAGAGTGAAAGGTTCAGGAAGGTTCAGGAGCAGAAGAAGTAACACCTTTTGTCCCTCCACCTCCTTTCCATCCACAAAATGCCAAGCATGGGGGGAAGGGGGTCTTCAAGGTGACCCCAGGCCAAGGAGACCCTTCTCGAAACGCCTGCTCCCCTTGATAATGTCCTCCGTCTCCCTCCACAGAGCATCCGCGTCAAGGCCAGCGACCTCACGGAGAAGGACCTTCAGCGCCTGAACCCGGCTGCTCTCGGGAGCATGAAGAAGCTCTCGGTAAGAGGCACCCCACTTTTGCTGTGTTCTCTGTGGGGCCAGAATTTATTTATTTATTTATTTGGTTTACTTCTACCCCGCCCTTCTCACCCCGAAGGGGACTCAGGGCGGCTTACAAAAACAAGGCACAATTCGATGCCCGTATCATACAACAGTAATAAAACAAAATAAAACAGTAATAGAACAAAATAACATAAATTAACAATCAGACCACAATTATACATTACATCTATAAACCGATAAAACCAATAAGACCAATTAAAATCCATACAAACCAATTACACCTTATTGCTGGTCAGCGTTCGCTATCTCATAGTTCATATTCCAATTCCACATGGTCAGTCCTGTCATTCCTATTCGTCTGGTTGTCCTTATCTAGTTAGCAGATTGCCCACAACCACGTCTTTACCTTCCTCCTAAATCAGAGGAGGGATGTTGATGCCCTAATTTCCCCGGGAGTGAGTTCCACAGGTGAGGGGCCACCACTGAGAAGGCCCTGCTCCTCGTCCCCACCAGCCTCACTTGGGAAAGCGGTGGGGTCGAGAGCAGGGCCCCCCCAGATGATCTCAAACTCCATGGTGGGACGTAGAGGGAGATACGTTTGGACAGATACACTGGACCGGAACCGTACAGGGTTTTGTAGGTCAAAACCAGCACCTTGAATTGGGCTCGGAACTGCACCGGCAGCCAGTGGAGCTGACATAGCAGAGGGGTGGTGTGCTCCCTGTATGTCGCTCCAGTGAGCAGCCTGGCAGCCGCTCGCTGAACCAGTTGAAGTTTCCGAACCGTCTTCAAGGGCAACCCCACGTAGAGTGCGTTGCAGTAGTCTATTCGGGATGTAACAAGAGCGTGGACCACTGCGGCCAGATCAGACTTCCCAGAAGTGCCCCCCACCCCTGGTTTACGTTGGTTTTATGTTACATACCGTGCCACAAAGAGAGAAGAGAAAAGAAGAAAAAGAAAGGGGGGAAAAAGAGAGAGAAGAGATTGAAATAAAGGAAAGAAGAGAAAAAAGAAAGGAAAAAAAGGATAAAAAGAGTGGTGAAAGGTCTAAAAATTTTGGAGACAGATTACCATCTGTCTCCAAAATTTTTAGACCATGGAGACAGATGGTATATGTCTCTCTCGTTGACTTCCTTCATATCTTCCAAGTGGGTTTTCCTTTTCCTTCTTCCATCTTTATTTTCTTTTCTATTTTCTCTTCTACTTATCTTGCTGTATTTTTATTTATTTGGTCTGCATAATTTGTCACATTTTTCCAGTCATAGAATCATAGAATCCTAGAATCAAAGAGTTGGAAGAGACCTCCTGGGCCATCCAGTCCACCCCATTCTGCCAAGAAGCAGGAATATTGCATTCAAATCACCCCTGACAGATGGCCATCCAGCCTCTGTTTAAAAGCTTCCAAAGAAGGAGCCTCCACCACACTCCGGGGCAGAGAGTTCCACTGCTGAACAGCTCTCACAGTCAGGAAGTTCTTCCTAATGTTCAGATGGAATCTCCTCTCTTGTAGTTTGAAGGAAACTTCAGTTTCTTTTATTGGGGTTCCTTTATTTTTAGATATCGGATATGTTAACCTATCCATATTTCTGATGTCTAAGACTTTTTCTATCCAGTCCTTTATTTCTGGAATATCTTCTTTTTTCCAAAGTTTTGCGTAGCACATTCTTGCTGCTGTGTTCAGTAAGAAAAGAAGTTTATCTGTATTTTTTCCATTTCATAGAATCATAGAATCCTAGAATCAAAGAGTTGGAAGAGACCTCTGGACCATCCAGTCCAACCCCCTGCCAAGAAGCAGGAATATTGCATTCAAATCACCCCTGACAGATGGCCATCCAACCTCTGTTTAAAAACTTCCAAAGAAGGAGTCTCCACCACACTCCGGGGCAGAGAGTTCCACTGCTGAACGGCTCTCACAGTCAGGAAGTTCTTCCTCATGTTCAGATGGAATCTCCTCTCTTGTAGTTTGAAGCCATTGTTCCCTTGCCTCCTAGTCTCCAGGGAAGCAGAAAACAAGCTTGCTCCCTCCTCCCTGTGGCTTCCTCTCACATATTTATACATGGCTATCATATCTCCTCTCAGCCTTCTCTTCTTCAGGCTAAACATGCCCAGCTCCTTAAGCCGCTCCTCATAGGGCTTGTTCTCCAGACCCTTGATCATTTTAGTCGCCCTCCTCTGGACACATTCCAGCTTAGAGTCAATATCTCTCTTGAATTGTGATGCCCAGAATTGGACACATTTTTGGGTCAAATATTCCTAACAGAAATACCTCTGGTCTGAATGACATTTTTATATTTAGTATTTCCTGTGTTATTTCATGAATTTTTTTCCAATATAATTTTGCTTTTGGGCATGACCACCACATGTGGAAATAAGAACCTTCCATCTTCCCGCATTTCCAACATTTTATATTTATGTTTTTATACGAATTATTCAATTTTTGAGGGGTCATGTACCATCTATGTGCCACCTTCAACCAATTTTCTTTTAGGTCTATTGCATATGTGTATTTAATCTTTGTTCTCCAGATTTTTTCCCAGTCTTTTTTCTTTTTTTATTGTTTTTCCCAGGTTTTCGTTCCATCTTTTCATATATTTTTTTCCCTTTCTTTTTCTTCTTTTCTCTCTTTCTCTCGGTATGTAACATAAAGAAACTTTCAATAAAGATTAGATATATATAAAAATAAAGGCTTTCTGTTCTCAAAGGGGGTTCAGCCCTAGATGGCCCAGTTAAAGGAAGGTAGGCATGGGCAAATTTGGGCCCTCCCTCTGGGCATTTTGGGTATCAACTTCCACAATTCTAACAGTCAACCTTGTGTAGTATCTGGAGAACAGAAAGCCTTTATGACTGCCATGCCCAAGACAACGTCTTGTCCAAGGTCGCCCTGTGAGTTTCCATGGCAAACTAGGGATTCAAACCCTTTTTCAGTGGTCAAACCACAATGCCATGTTGCTAGCCTAAGATCATGCCTGGTGTGCGAGTGGGCTTATGAACAAAAGACCCTCCCCATAAATATACCGTAGAGTAACTTATCATAGAATCATAGAATCATAGAATCAAAGAGTTGGAAGAGACCTCATGGGCCATCCAGTCCAACCCCCTGCCAAGAAGCAGGAATATTGCATTCAAAGCACCCCTGACAGATGGCCATCCAGCCTCTGTTTAAAAGCTTCCAAAGAAGGAGCCTCCACCACACTCCGGGGCAGAGAGTTCCACTGCTGAACGGCTCTCACAGTCAGGAAGTTCTTCCTAATGTTCAGATGGAATCTTCTTTCTTGTAGTTTGAAGCCATTGTTCCGTGTCCTAATCTCAAGGGCAGCAGAAAACAAGCTTGCTCCCTCCTCCCTATGACTTCCTCTCACATATTTATATATGGCTATCATGTCTCCTCTTAGCCTTCTCTTCTTCAGGCTAAACATGCCCAGCTCCTAAGCCGCTCCTCATAGGGCTTGTTCTCCAGACCCTTGATCATTTTAGTCGCCCTCCTCTGGACACATTCCAGCTTGTCAATATCTCTCTTGAATTGTGGTGCCCAGAATTGGACACAATATTCCAGATGTGGTCTCACCAAAGCAGAATAGAGGGGTAGCATTACTTCCTTAGATCTAGACACTATGCTCCTATTGATGCAGGCCAAAATCCCATTGGCTTTTTTTGCCGCCACATCACATTGTTGGCTCATGTTTAACTTGTTGTCCACGAGGACTCCAAGATCTTTTTCACACGTACTGCTCTCGAGCCAGGCGTCCCCCATTCTGTATCTTTGCATTTCATTTTTTCTGCCAAAGTGGAGTATCTTGCATTTGTCACTGTTGAACTTCATTTTGTTAGTTTTGGCCCATCTCTCTAATCTGTCAAGATCGTTTTGAATTCTGCTCCTGTCCTCTGGACTATTGGCTATCCCTCCCAATTTGGTGTCGTCTGCAAACTTGATGATCATGCCTTCTAGCCCTTCATCTAAGTCATTAATAAAGATGTTGAACAGGACCGGGCCCAGGACGGAACCCTGCGGCACTCCGCTCGTCACTTCTTTCCAAGATAAAGAGGAAGCATTAGTGAGCACTCTCTGTGTTCGTCCACTTAACCAATTACAGATCCACCTCACCGTAGTTTTGCCTAGCCCACATTGGACTAGTTTCCTTGCCAGCGTGACCCAACACCAGTCACCCAAAGTGATGAAAAGAACAAAAACACACAGACCAATGTCATCTCTTCCATAGGAGGCTTTTCTTTCTGGTTGCACTGTTTACAAGAACTAGGTTTTCATAACACAAATAAACAAAAACATAATAGCTTTACACTCAGTCTTCACATAGGAGTTTTCTCACACAAGGCTTCTCTCAGACTGAGGTTTACCTCACGCTCCTCAGGATGACTCCAGCTTTGGCTCGCTGACTCTAACGGGCTTCGGCCTACTCACTCTCCTCAAGATCACACTAGCTTTGGCTCCTTGACTCTTAACGGGCTTCGGCCTACTCACTCTCCTCAAGATCACACTAGCTTTGGCTCCTTGACTCTAACGGGCTTCGGCCTACTCACTCTCCTCAAGATCACACCGGCTTTGGCTCCTTGACTCTAATGGGCTCCGGCCTACTCACTCTCCTCAAGATCACACTAGCTTTGGCTCCTTGACTCTTAACGGGCTTCGGCCTACTCACTCTCCTCAAGATCACACTAGCTTTGGCTCCTTGACTCTTAACGGGCTTCGGCCTACTCACTCTCCTCAAGATCACACCGGCTTTGGCTCCTTGACTCTAACGGGCTTCTGCCTACTCACTCTCCTCAAGATCACACCGGCTTTGGCTCCTTGACTCTAATGGGCTCCGGCCTACTCACTCTCCTCAAGATCACACTAGCTTTGGCTCATTGACTCTAATGGGCTTCGGCCTACTCCTCAGGACGACACTAGCTTTGGCCCACTTGCTCTAACAGGTTTTACCCTACTCACTCTTTCAGTGCTTGACTCACACTTTTGATGTCGAATGCGAATTGGGGGAGGGGGCTGCCGAGGCAGAGGCCAGCAAGACCCAAAAAGAGGATCCGGAACACCTGGCGAGACAATAAGCACCAGTAAAGATTTTCCCTATTTCCCAATAAATCTCACCAAGTTGAAGCAAAAGCCACCGAGGTTTATTTCCATTCCAGCTGGAAATAAATCGCAGTAATCTGCCAACAAATTGACATCCCCCTGAGCAGAGGTTTATGGAATATATAGCTTTCAGATTCCAAACCCAAGTATCGAAGGTGGAGGCATTACTTTTCATTCAACCCTCGTAGTCACAGCTCTAGCCCAGAAGCCACCTCTCCGCCTATTTGCCCTTGTTTGTCACCCTTTGCGTTGCTGCTTCACCCGAGCTCTGTTTCCCTCCCTCCAGGCCCAGATCCTGCGCTTGTGCAAGTAGAAGACCAGCGGCTATTTCGAACTTGTTTGGAGACCTGTTGTTTTCTGGGGAATGGACTTTGGCCTTCAGCCGCTCCTCTGTGTTGGGATTTGGACCAGGGAGGTGGTGGGCAAATGGAGACCCCAGGCATCGCCCTGCAGCTGGGTTTGGGAAGGGGCTGCACGAGGCACTTCCGCTGTCCAAGCATCCCTCTTGCTTTGGCCTCTGGCCACCTCGTCATCACAGCCAAGAGGAAGAGGGCTAAAGAGTGGCCCTCGCCTGCCAGTTCCCCTTGTTTTGCTGGGGTGGGGGGTTGCCCTTTTCCCTCTCCCTCCCCGTGGTTGTCTGTCTCTCTGGCCTACCAATATCATTTGTTTTTAACGTTTTGCCTTTTGGACTTAGAAACACTCCTATTTCAGGTGTGTGTCCTTTGAACGAGTCTCTCGGTTGGCCATGTTTTTAGAACTGAATTGAAATGTCCTGAATAAAAAGTAATAGCAATACATTGTCGAAGGCTTTCTTGGTCGGATTCGCTGGGTTGCTGTGAGTTTTCCAGACTGTGGCCATGCTCCAGAAGCATTCTCTCCTGACGTTTCACCTGCATCTATGGCAAGCATCATCAGAGACCTCAGGACCCTTCCTTTTTCCCCCTCCGCCGCTTAAGTGGCGGAGGGGGAAAAGGAAAGGGCCTGAGGTCTCTGAGGATGCTTGCCGTAGTTGTGGGTGAAACATCAGGAGAGAATGCTTCTGGAACATGGCCACACAGTCTGGAAAACTCACAGCAACCCAATAACAATACATTTTATTTATAAAGAGCCACCCCTCTGCGAGAGTCTCCCAAGCCACTGCCCTCTTGTCTATTTCCTTGTCTTATTTATGGCTTTTCTTATGTACTCTTGTATTTGAAATGCAGAGATATTTTTGGAGACCTGCTCTTCCGGGTGGTGTCGCCTATACTTAGATGTTCTTGCAACTTAAAATAAATTTAGCAGTTCCAAGTGTTGCGCTTTCTATTTCTGCTGCTAGACATCTGTGTTTGAAAGCCGAAGTTATCCGTTGGGTTGGGAGGGCAGGCCTATTGCATGCCTACATATTCCAGAATTGTGTATACTAGTGTACCTAATGTACAGAGATGGGTGAGTGGGTAGGTTAGGTAGGTAGGTAGAGAGATGGATGAGAGGATGAATGGATAGAAATAGGTATGATTGGAAGAATTGATTGATGGGGAGATAGATAGATAGATAGATAGATAGATAGATAGATAGATAGATAGATAGATTTGGATAAATAAATAGATAGAATTGATTGATGGAGGGGTAGGTAGATAGATGTTGTTGTTGTTCATTTGTTCAGTCGTCTCCGACTCTTCGTGACCTCATGGACCAGCCCATGCCAGAGCTCCCTGTCGGCCGTCACCATCCTCAGCTCCTTCAAGGTCAGTCCAGTCACTTCAAGGATACCATCCATCCATCTTGCCCTTGGTCGGCCCCTCTTCCTTCCACTTTCCCCAGCAAGGTAGATAGATAGAACTGGATAAATAAATAGATGATTTGATGGATGGATGGATGGATGGATGGATGGATAGATAGATAGATAGATAGATAGATAGATAGATAGATAGAGAGATAGAGAGATAGATAGATAGTAAGCAAAGTAAATAAATAGATGATGATAGATAGATAGATAGATAGATAGATAGATAGATAGATAGATAGATGGATGACTGGATGGATGGATAGAAATAGATATGATTGGAAGAATGGATGAAGAGAGAGAGAGAGAGATAGGACTGGATAAATAAATACATAGATGACTGGATGAATGGATAGGTAGATGGATAGATAGTAGATAGATAGATTTGGATAAATAAATAGAATTGATTGATTGGTAGGTAGGTAGGTAGGTAGAACTGGATAAATAAATACATGATTTGATGGATGGATGGATAGATAGATAAATAAATAGATGATTGGATAGATGGATAGATAGATGGATGGATGACTGGATGAATGGATATGATTGGAAGAATGGATGAAGAGAGAGATAGATAGGACTAGATAAATAAATACACAGATGGATGGATGGATGGATAGAAATAGATATGATTGGAAGAATGGATGAAGAGAGAGAGAGAGATAGGACTGGATAAATAAATACATAGATGACTGGATGAATGGATAGGTAGATGGATAGATAGTAGATAGATAGATAGATAGATAGATAGATAGATAGATAGATAGATAGATTTGGATAAATAGATAGAATTGATTGATGGAGAGGTAGGTAGGTAGGTAGGTAGAACTGGATAAATAAACACATGATTTGATGGATGGATGGATGGATAGATAGATAGGAACTGAATAGATAGATAAATAAATAGATGATTGGATAGATGGATAGATAGATGGATGAATGGATAGAAATATGATTGGAAGAATGGATGAAGAGAGAGATAGGACTGGATAAATAAATACACAGATGAATGGATAGATAGATAGATAGATAGATAGATAGATAGATAGATAGATAGGACTAGAGGTATTTTTTAAGTAAGGTTCGTTTTGTTGTAGACACTAGTAGTTCGCGCGCATACCGCAACGAGCGCATGTGTTGTGTACCGGCATGCCTCGGGAACAACTGTGCTCAGTTTCCGCTCTGTAGCTCACCTGTACGGTTCTGTTCTGTGCTTTAAACATGTTTAAGACTCTCAACTCACCCTCCGCATGTGATACGGTTTTTGTCCGCAAGGGACCTGCCTGCTGCAGAAATTCATTGACAGATTTGTGAAGTGTACGGTGATACTGTTATGAGTGAAAGCAAAGTGCGTAAGTGGGTATGACAATTCAAAGATGGCCGTGACAACGTCCATGATGAAGACTGCTCCGGTCGCCCTTCTTTGATTACAGACGATTTGGTGGCTTCAGTTGAAGAGAGGATTCGTGAGAACAGGCGCTTCACAATAACAATAATAAAAATCTTTGAATTGTCGTACCCACTTATCATAGATTTTTAAATATTTATTTATCGTGTCATCCGCAACCAGAACATTGTATTACATTTCTAACAGAACAAACAAACAGATAAAAAAAAACACAAATTTTGCAAACTTGGTAGCTGATTAAATGTCCTTTGACCAGTATCTGTCCCCTTGGAGTGCCTCTGGTGTTGCCGCAAGAGGTCCTCCCTTGTGCATGTGGCAGGGCTCAGGTTGCATTGCAGCAGGTGGTCAGTGGTTTGCTCTTCTCCACACTCGCATGTCGTGGATTCCACTTTGTGGCCCCATTTCTGAATGTTGGCTCTGCATCTCGTGGTGCCAGAGCGCAGTCTGTTCAGCGCCTTCCAAGTCGCCCCGTCTTCTGTGTGCCCAGGAGGGAGTCTCTCATTTCGTATCAGTTCTGGGTTTGAGCATGCCACTTTTGGACTCTCGCTTGCTGAGGTGTTCCAGCGAGTGTCTCTGTAGATCTTAGAAAACTATTTCTAGATTTAAGTCGTTGGCGTGCTGGCTGATACCCAAACGGGATGAGCTGGAGATGTCTCTGCCTTGGTCCTTTCACTATTGGCTGCTACTTCCCGGCGGATGTCAGGTGGTGCAATACTGGCTAAGCAGTGTAATTTCTCCAGTGGTGTAGGGCGCAGACACCCCGTGATAATGTGGCATGTCTCATTAAGAGCCAACATCCACTGTTTTAGCGTGGTGAGATGTGTTCCACACTGGGCATGCATACTCAGCAGCAGAGTAGCACAGCGCAAAGACCCATTGAAACCAAACCAACTTATATCCTATAACTCCTCCTCAGAGGATGAACTGCTCCCCGCCCTTTCCTCATCCCTTTCAGCTGCCCCACGCCTTCTCAAACAACCACGTCTTTAGGCTCTTGCGGAATGTCATAAGGGAGGGCGCCTGTCTGATGTCTACAGGGAGGGTGTTCCACAGCCGGGGGGCCACCACCGAGAAGGCCCTATCCCTCGTCCCCGCCAGGCGTGCCTGTGAGGCAGGCGGGATCGAGAGAAGGGCCTCCCCAGACGATCTCAAGGTCCTCGTGGGCTCGTAGGCCAAGATGCGGTCAGAAAGGTATTTTGGGCCGGAACCGTTTAGGGCTTTGTAGGCCAACACCAGCACCTTGAATTGGGCCCGGTAGCAGATCGGCAGCCAGTGGAGCTGGAACAACAAGGGCGTTGTGTGCTCCCTGCGTCCCACTCCTGTTAGTAACATGGCTGCCGCGCGCTGGACTAGCTGAAGCTTCCGGGCCGTCTTCAAGGGCAGCCCCACGTAGAGAGCGTTGCAGTAGTCAAGGCGGGATGTGACCAGAGTGTGTACTACCGTGGCCAAGTCAGACTTCCCAAGGTACGGGCGCAGCTGGCGCACGAGCCTGAGCTGTGCAAATGCTCCCCTGGTCACCGCTGAAACCTGGGGTTCCAGGCTCAACGATGAATCCAGGGTCACACCCAAGCTTCGAACCTGCGCCTTCAAGGGGAGTGCGACCCCATCCAGCACAGGCTGTAACCCTATACCCTGTTCGGCCTGTAACCCTATACCCTGTTCACAGTTTCAGAACAAAAGAATGTTTCAGTCCCAAAAATATAAACACATAAAGTCCAGAAAAGCCAGAGCGTGGTCAAACCGGTCCTGAGGTCAATCCGAAGGAATCAAAGCTGGAAAACTGGAAAGCTGGAACAACAGGAACTCACGAGGCTGGAGCCCGGGACCCAAAGGTGAGAGTTTGGCAAGGCAAAGAGTAAGGTCCCATTTGGACACTTTGCTTCCTGCAACTAGATGTGCCAACAGAACTCCCTTATATCTTAAAGCTCATTGTCAGAGCTTGATGAGCTCCCCACCCTTTCATCATCGCTATCACCTGCTTCCAAGTCTGCAGCTGAATGCCCATCTCTCCACCTTTGCCAATTACTATCAGGGGTCAGATTCTGCCAAGAATCCCCTGGCTGCCAGTCCCCCATGAACTCCTCGCTGGAGGTGGGCTGATTGCAGATGTCTCTTATATTCTGTACCTGAGTCCAATCCAATTCCTCCCCTTCCATGTCACTTCCAGATCCCGAATCCCCCTCAAAGCCCAAAAAGTCCTCCTCATCAGTGGGTTCCCTAAGTAACTCCCAAATACGCTTCCTTTGTGCTTCTCCTTCAGATTCTGGCTCACAAACAGTCCTTTTAACACCTCTAGATGCTTCCCCATTCCCCATGTCGTAATCTGAGAAGCCCATAAACGTATCACTGTCGTAGGAGGAGGGGCTTAAGGAGCTGGGCATGTTTAGCCTGAAGAAGAGAAGGCTGAGAGGAGATATGATAGCCATGTATAAATATGTGAGAGGAAGCCACAGGGAGGAGGAGGGAGCAAGCTTGTTTTCTGCTTCCTGGGAGACCAGGACGCAATGGAACAATGGCTTCAAACTACAAGAGAGGAGATTCCACCTGAACATGAGGAAGAACTTCCTGACTGTGAGAGCCGTTCAGCAGTGGAACTCTCTCCCAGTGTGGTGGAGGCTCC